TTGCATTATGTCTAATTTTATTTTCACACTGAATGATTCTCCATTGTGGTGTGTGTTAATACAAAAAGTCCAAACATGCATCATCCTTTTATTTGTCAGCCATCACATTGAAATAAATACAAAGATGGTTGTAAGTCGCCAGCAATATATACTTGTATGCATACATACGCATACATTGATAGTGATAAAGGATAAATAATAATAAAAAAATATAGAGTTAACAGTGTGGCAAAAGATGGTGGTTTATTGTTCAGCGAAATTGTGGTAAGTGCTTGGACCCCACATTCTCTAATGGTATTGGAAACAATATTCGACAACGGTTAAGAATTGTTTAAATAGTAAACCAGCAATCGTATTTGATATTGGTTTAGAAAAAGAATAAAGCTAATTAAGCATTTAATTAATTGGTATGAGAAAAAATAATAGGGAAAAGTAAGACATCCGATTTCTTCCTCTATGTATCTGTTACGGTTCTTACTCTGTTGTATAACAATTGTTTCCATTTTCACCTTTTTAGACTCCATATTGAACTCATTGATGAAAAAAACTATATATATATATACCACGTGAAATATCAGAATGCGTTCAAATGTTTGAATTTTTTGATTGAATTTATCTTTTTCACTAAGAAATGGGTTATACGTGTTCCCCATTTATACTGCTGGATGCTTGAGTTACCGAAAATAAGGTACTTAGTATTTTTCTTCCGAAAGGATTCTTCATCGTTATAAACGATCAATGAATATATCTTCTTCTTGTTTTTTTTACAATCGCCCATAGTATTCATTTGTTATTTTAGAAGTAGTTGTTTTTATTTATCCTAATTTATCCATTATGCAGCCCCACAATAGTTCACGTCTCTGAAATAATATATATTTATATTAGCATAATTCACAAATGTAAGGTGTAGGGACCAAATAAATACTAAAGGAGGGCAATACATCAAAAACATGAAGGTGTAAGTATAATAACCTGTTTTACCATCTAGCAGCGTCTTGGCTGCACTACCGCATCACGAGGTTGTTGGTTAGAAATATACCAATAAAATAATAAAAAAGCAGAAGTGTTGTATAGAAGATACCAAAAATAGAAACGATAATATTCTTGTTGTCTTGTAGAAAACGACGCGCACCAAGTAGGCGAGCAACATTATCATTTGTTAGCAGTACTATTAAATACGGATGAAAAAAGGTTCGAAGTTAAACAAGACTACATCAGCATTATGCTGTGGAGTTGTTCTGAGCGGGTTACAGCAAGAGTAGCCCATTGTAAATACGTATCTATGAGCTTAAAGAGTATATAATTGTACGTAAACCAAAAGAAACAATCAATCGAAATATGATGTTCAGCAATAGAACATGTGCCCCGGCGATATATAGAGATAGACCGATGGATGGATCGATCCCCGTCTCGCCCCCGCGCGGGACGCTTAGGGTGGGGGGGGTTGAAGCATGACGACCTGGAGGAGGACCTGGGGGGGAAGAGGGCCGG